ACCAAACTACTGATATGCATTACATTACAGATGAATTTCAAAATTATTATGCTGAGTAAAGTAGCCATCCCTAAACAAATATTTACTATATTATTCTATGTATATAAGCTTCCCTAAAATAAAAACTTATTATCCACAATGAAAGAAAGTAAGAGGTTGCCTAATAATGGGATTTGGGGTGGGATTCTCAAGGGACACAAAATTTGGAGGGTTTTGGAAATATTTGTTATCCTGTTTGTTGTGATGATTTCAAGGTACATGCACAACAGAATTCTCATCAATCTGTACACTTTAAATATATTCAGTTTATTTCTTAATTTACCTTAATAGAATATAGATGTATGATAGATAGATTGGTATGTAGGCAGATATATGGCAGACCTACAGTCCCTCATGGACAAGTAGTTGTCTGTGGCCAGTTAGGAACCAGGCTGCACAGCAGGAAGTGAGCAGCAGGTGAGGGAATGAAGCTTCACCTGTATTTATAGCTGCTCCCCATCAGTCACATAACTATAACTACCTGAGCTCTATCTCCTGTCATATAAGTGGTGGAATTAGATCCTCATAGGAGCACAAACACTACTGTGTGCTACACATTCAGGTATCTAGGTTATGTTCTTTTTTTTCTTTCTTTTTTTTTTTTTTCCCCAAGACATAGTCTCACTTTGTTACCCTTGGTAGAGTGCCGAATCATAGCTCACAGCAACCTCAAACTCTTGGGCTCAAGAAATCCTCTTACCTCAGCCTCCAGAGTAGCTGAGATCACAGGTGCCTGCCACAACGCCTGGCTATTTTTAGAGATGGGGTCTCACCCTAGTTCAGGCTGGTCTCGAACTCATGAGCTTAGGTGATCCTGCCTCGGCCTCCCAGAGTGCTGAGATTACAGACGTGAACATTGTACCTGGCTGGTTACGCACTTCTAAGAGAAGAAGAGAATCTAATTACCTTCTCCCTTGCCAGGGTCTGTGGAAAAATTATCTTCCATGAAACCAGTCCTTGCTGCTAAAAAGGCTGGGTGCTCTGCAATAGACACCTAGGTACACAGAATTAATCAAGGAGAGGGGGCTTTTTCCTAGGTAGGTAATAACTAAAAAGGAGTGATGGAAATAGAAACTTATTATTTTCCAAAACCCAAAGGATTATAATAAGTGACTCAAGTCAGATCATCTGTTGAGACTAGAATCAGCTGGTGAAAGGTTCTTTGGGCCAGGCACGGTGGCTCACACATGTAATCCTAGCACGCTGGGAGGCTGAGGCAGGTAGATTACCTGAGCTTAAGAGTTTGAGGCCAGCCTCTGCAAGAGTGAGACTTCATCTCTACTAAAATAGAAAAACAAACAAACAACAACAACAAAAAAAACCCCAAACCAAACAACAACCAAAAAAACCAACTAGCCTAGCATAGGGAGCATGCCTATATTCTCTGCTACTGGGAGGCTGAGGCAAGAGAATTGCTTTAACCCAGGAGATTAAGGTTGTTGTGAGCTATGATGCCACAGCACTCTAGACTGGGGCAACAGGGTGAGATTCTGTCTCTAAATACATTAGAGAAACAAACAACCCTCCCCCCCCAAAAAAAGAAAGGTTCTTTGGTGCCAGAATATTCATGTAGTCTAAAAGCATCACTTTACAGATCACCTATCCATCCCAGAGGGAAAAATGGACCTGTACAATTGTGTAGTGATAAAATTCAGCATCAGTGACGGACTGGAAACCTAAGATTATGTGCCTCTCGATGTGATGGAAAAGGGACATAACATAACTGTACATGTTTAAACTGAACTTGATCCTGGGGAAACAACCCAAAAGGTGGCACATTCTGAAGACAACTGTCTTGAAAAACAAACAATTCCATTCTTCAGAGAGGAATGTGAGTGGGTGGGGCGGGGGCATTGATTTTTATAGGTTAAAAGAGGCTAAAGAGACAGAACTAAGGAATACAATGCATGAACCTTCCTTGGATTCTGGATTTAAAAAGGAGAAATGCTGTAAAAGACATCTGGGGTCAATGGGGAAGTTTAAGCATGGGTTGCACATTAAGTATTATTGAACTGATATTTCTCCTGCTGTGGTAATGCCATCTGAGTTATGTAGTAGCAAGATAAGCACCTGAGGTTAAATGAGAGGTGGGTAGTGAGTAGGTGGGAAGGTGGATGGATGCTAATATGTCAAACTGTTAACAATTGGTGAGTTTAAGTGAGGGTATTACAGAGGTTTACTGTCCTTTCAATTTTTCTGTGGGTTTGAATTCTTTTTTAAATACACAATTAGGTAAAGAGTGGGGGAAATAGCAAGGCAAACAAGCAGGGTCGTTCTGTTCCTGCAGTGCACAGCCTGCCCTCCCTCTCTGCTGCGTTCTTCTCTGCCCGGGTCGGGGGCCCAGCACAAGCCTCTTCTGGGCAGGCTCAGGGATTGGTTGATGTAGAGTGGACATATTGTCACCAGATTGCTCGAGGTGGAGGCTTTTTTGTAGAAAAGTGGTGTATCCAGGCTAATGGGGGACCGCAGGATGGAGGGGGAAGGAGAATGAGGCAGTTGCCATGGAGCCAAGGGCCCCCTTTGCTGGGGATTGACGTTTGTTTACATTCCCCAGAGGTGATGGGGGCAGGGAGGGGAGAGGAAGAAAAATGGGGGCTTAATTTGCTCTCACAGATACTGGCTGCCCACGGGGCTTATTATCCTTGATTGCCTGTTTTCTGCTTTCTGTCACCATGGAGACGAGCGAAAAACGTGACTCTGCTCAGATTTACGCACTTTGCTAGATGAATGCCTTGTCCCCATGTACCTGCTGGGTCTCTGCCGTGGGACGAGATCCCTGCGGAATGTGTCTGTGCGAAGGCGTATGATTAAATAGGTGGCTGCGGTGAGGTGTTCGGTGAGGCAGTGGCGTGGGTGGCAAGACGTCTTCAGGGAGCTAGTGAGAACACAGCTGCTGTCAGCCTCCTTCCGGGCCAAGCCATTACATCTCAGAAATGTTCTCAAAGCTGGGGGTGGGGAACAACAGGTTGCTACTGAAGACCCCGTGTGTGCCCCCGCAGCCCCATCCGGGTCAGCTTGCTCAGTGCTTTGTAACCAGGCCCCTCTGTAAAAGCATTTTCGACCATAGGTGCTGGTCCCCCAGGGCAGCTCAGGATGACTATCTCCCGGGAGGGGGTTGAGAAGAGTCACACAGGAAGTTTGGGCTGAGAAGGGGTTTCAGTGAGAACACTATGGTTTTCTCCCCCCCCCAGGAGTTCCTCTGGGAATATGCATTTTCTTAAGTGCTGAGAATAAAGTTGGTGTCAAGCACCCTCAAAGGGTTTGAGCAAGAGGGCGAAGAAAGGTTGGTCGGGTATCTTAGAAGGCACCTCTCAGCTCTGGAAGGAATTTTCCATGCATCTCCTGGTATATGAAGGACATAGGGGCTCTTCACGGAGTCTGTGTCCCCTTTGTAGTTCAAGGGACTGGTCTGAGAATGGGAGGGAAACGCCCACCCATCTCTGTAAATGACCCCACTTTGGTTTGTCCACGATTTGGTGACATCTACAGACTTGCTGCTGAGATGCAAGGACAGGCTTCTGAGATTTCCAAAGTTGAGAGGGGTCCCTCTTTCAGACAAGAGTCAACGAACGGCTTGAGAACTGGAGTGCCCACCGCGCCAAAGTGATCTGCACATTCAGTGCAATCCCTGTCCAAATTCCAATGGTAGTTTTCAGTAAAAAAAGAAAAAAATCCTAAAATTTTGCATAGACCCACAAAAAGCAAAAACAAACAAACAAACAAACAAAAAGGATAGACAAAGCAACCCGTGAACAAAAAGAATAGTGCTGGAAGCGCCACCCACTTAATTGTTACATATATTACCAAGATTTAGTATTCAAAACAGGCTATGTGGGTCTGGCATGAAAACAGACACACTGACCAATGGAAAAAAATAGAAAGCCCAGACGTGAACTCAGGCTTTTATGGACGATTAATTTTTGACAAAGGCATTACAAACATGCAATGGGGGAAAAAAGACCGTCTCTTCAATAAATAGTGTCGGGGAAACTAGATATGCACCTGCAGAAAAGACAAATTAGAAACACGTAGAAAACTCAACTCAAAATGAACTACAGACTTAAATGTAAGAACCAAAACTGTAAAACTATTGGAAGAAAACAGGGGAAAAGCTCCAGGACATGGGTCTGGGCAATGATTAAGCAAAAAGAGAGGAGTAAGATTGCGTCAAACTAAACAGCTCTTGCACAACAAAGGAAAGATTAACAGAGTGAAGAGACAATTTAGGGATAGAGAAAAAAATATTCCCAAATCATGCATTTGATGAAGGCTAACTATCCACAATATGTAAGTAACTCAAGGAAAAAAAAATAATCCAAATAAAAAATGGGCAAAGGACCTCAACAGACCTATTACAAAAGTAAGACATAGAAATGGCAAGTGGGTATATAAAAAAGTCTAAATACCACTAATTATCAGGAAAATGCAAATTAAAACTGCAATGAGGTTTCATTTTATACATATTAAGATAGGCTTTATCAAAAAAATGAAATGTGAGAGTTGGTGAGAGTGCGGAGAATGGGGGAACCCTTGCACACTGCTGATGGGAATATAAATAAGTACAGACATCATGGAAGACAGTGTGGAGTTCCTCAAAATATTAAAAATAGAACTACCATATGGCTCAGCAATCCTGCTAATGGGTATATATTTAAAGAAAATAAAGTCATTATATTGAAGAGATATCTGCCTTCCTGTGTTCACACTCCAATGTATGAAATCAAACTAAGGGTCCATCTTGACAAGAGTGGATTAAGGAAATCTGATATATTTGTATGTATATACACACACACACAACCACACAAACACATACTTGAATACTAGCCAGCATTAAAAAAGGAGGAGATTCTGTCATTAGCAAAAGCATAGAGGGACCTGTGGACATAATATGAAGGGAAATAAGCCCAGCACAGAATAGCTTATCATCTCATTTATATCTAATATCTACAAAAGTCAAACTCCTTCCCCTTTTATCACTTTTTATCTTAGTAATAGACTTCAGTGGTTAGATGCTTATGGGATAGATTAAAATTGTCATGATCTGAAAAGGGAGGTTTTATTTACTTATTTATTTGTTTGTTTGTTTTGGTATTCTTATTCTATATGCAGTGGCTGGACAGAAATTTATTACCTATGAAATTTTGACACCATGTTTTATTAAAGGAAAATTTTGGAGTAGTGAGTTTATAAATAAAAAATAAATAAGTATTTTTTTTTTCCATTCCTGAGGAAAAAAAAAGTATTTTTAAAATAAAGTCAAACTCAGAAATAGAGAGTAGAATAGTGGTTACTGGAGGTTGGGGCAATGCTGGCTTTGTGGAATGAGGAGATGTCGACATCAAAGGGTACAAAGATTCAGTTAGACAGAAAGAGTATGTTGTTAAGATCTACCACACAGGGTAGTGACTATAGTTAACAAAAATGTATCATATATTTCAAGATTGTTGAGAGAGTAAATTTCAAATGTCTCTCCCACAAAAAGAATTAATGCGAAAGGTGATAAATATGTTAATTAGCTAGATTCAATCATCATGTAATGGTAAATGTGTATCCAATATCATATTTTAATCCATAAATATATGCATTTATTCTCTGTCAATTAAAAATACAAAATAAATTTAGAAAATAAATAATTGGAATAAATATGAAGCTGAAATTGGCATGAATTGAGCTTTGGGAGAGACGCCTTCCTTCAGGGTGTTTCAGAAAAGGAGGCTGAATCTGAGTTACTTTTGCTCAGATTTGAGAAATAATGGCAATGTTTCATCTCGCGTGCATCACTGATCCCTGATTTCCATTCAAAGGAAGTGTTTTGCTGGCATCTCCCTCCATGATATTGTAACCATTTCACGAACTGTCACTACAGTGACAGGATATTATTTTGCAGCACAAAATGTGCAGTTTCTCTGCTCCTAACAGTTCTAGCTACATCTAATTCTAAGGTGTCATGGTTTGGAATGAGCTGAGGAGTCCCCATAGCAAATGTCCAGTAAGAAGAAACCTGGATGGTCTGCAGGTTTGTGATGAACCCATGTGGAGAATTTCCCACGAGACTGTGCAGGGGAAGGAAGGCTTGGTGAAGTCTGACTAAAGAGAACTAACAATCCCGGATGTAGACATATGAGCTTTATGCTTGGTCAGCCACATTCCTCCTTTCGGGCTTCTAATCCTCAGAATCCCTTTCCTGCCACAGGGAGGGAATATGACCTTGAGATATGGCTTCAGATATGTGTGCATGTTTGATATGGCTGTTTTCTGAGAATTGTTGGCCAGGCCAGCATTGCCATAAGCTTGTAACAAATGTCTCAAGGGGATGCAGGGTATTAAGGCACTACCTCTTCCTCTAGAATTCCCATGGTGCCTGTTTACTCCATGTGGCTCTGGGTGCACAGCGGACCCTTTGGGCATGTGGTTCGGGGGACCTGTTCTCCATGTCAACACCTCCCTGGATCTTGCCCTGGGCTGCCTTGCCATTCTGGGTCGAGGGGCTCCTTGCCCAAAGCTCCATGTGTCTGCACTGATGATAGGAATTGTCATCTCCTATTGTAACTGTCATCTCTCCCCTGGTGACCACACTTCAGAGAGAACCTGGAGAAGCCCACCATAAATGACACCTCTGGTTTGGTTATCAAAGAACTAGTTAGAAACTAAAGGGAAAAGGAGGAGCCAGTCTACCCAGAATGGTAAGGCGCCCAGAGCAGGATTGGGGGATGTTGACAAGGAGAACAGGTTCTTTAAACAGATCAGATCTAAACCTGGGATTGATGCAGATTATTGGACCTCCACCCCAAACCAAGTGAATCAGAAAAGCCAGGGGCAAGGCCAAGTGAGCTGTTTCCCCAAGCTCACATGATGGTTCTGATGTATTATTTGTGCCCCTGAACTAGGTTATGGGGGCATCAAAACTTCAGGAAGAAGCAAATAAAAGCACAGCACTCTGAGGCTTTCTTGAGACATGCTGTTATTTAATACAGGCACGAGTGGGGGGGTGTCTCTGTTTCCGTTCAAAGCTAGGTTTTGCCCCCCAGCAGGTCCTGTGGTGCTCATGGCTGTGCTTATTAGAGATGTAAAGAGGCCAGACAAAGAGGGAAACCAGATTTGGTCTTTTGTTGTTTTTTTTCCTCATTGCCATTATCTCCCTGCCTAACCATTCATTCCTCTCGATCTGTGTAGATGGTGAACTGTTTTATGCACAGTATTGTCACTGCTCAGTCTTGCTGCATTTTCATGAAAATGTCAAGAGTCCACTGAACTCCTAAATCATTTCATAACCCTTGATGGGATAGGATCTATGTGGTAACAAACAAATCTCCATATCAGGTGGGCTTATCCGAGTAAAATTTTCTTTAATTAATCATATGATGATTGATACTGGTCAGGCATTGTAGCCATTCCTTCTGGTATTCTGAGCTTCTAGGGCCACCGCAGCAAGGGAGAGTGTCGGAGGAAGCACGCCAGCTGCTGATGGCTTCTGGAAGTGACACATGTCATTTCTGCTCATGGTCCGTTGCTCAGAGCTCAGGGCATAGTTCCATCACTGGGGAGTAGGTTGAGGGAGTGAAAAGTAACAGCTGCTGGGCCCACATTGTGGCATGGCCTGTGCATCAAAAACCTTTTTATTTTTGATGAAAGCCCCGAAATTGAAAGGTTTATGCAGCAGCCGTAGCAGCAGCAATAAACTAACACCACTACTTATCTATCATCTCTGAGGGGACTGAGGATTCTGAGGCATATTTGTAATTTGGTCCAGAGTGCTCAGATCCTTTGAAATTGGGCTTTCTGCAGAAATGATGCTGGTAATTCTGTAGTGTCATTCATTTTCTGAGAACAGAGTCAGAGGCAGGCAATTGAGAGGGGAAAGGAAGAAACTGGTAGCCTCTTGTCCTGGCCTCGGTGGTGCTCCAGGGTCTCACTGGAGGCCCCGCTTTGCTTCTGTCTTTCCTCTTGGTTGCACTGTGCAGGGATAAACTGAGAAGAGAGGAGAGACGCAGGGAGGGCACAGCCTTGGCTTCCTCTCTCAGGCTTGGGCTCATCCCTTAGGTTTTTTCCCTATCACTACAGAGAGAAAACAAGCATGGGTTTTAGGGGACTACATTCAGATCACTGGCCTCCTGTCCACACAGATGCAGCAAGTGATGTTTTCAGTAGGCTGGTGTGGATCTGCAGGGAACGTGATCTCACAGAGGGAGAGAGTAGAATAAGGGTTACCAGAGTGGCTGGAGTGGTTGGGAGGGGAAGTTGGGGAGATGCTGTTCAAAGGCTATACAAATACAATTAGGAAGGAGGAATAAGCTCAAGAGATCTTTTGTATAGCATGGTCACTATAGATAATGACAATATAGTATTTTTAAAAGTGCTGAAAAAAAAAGTGCTGAGAGTGGATAAGTATTCTTACCACAAAGATGGTGTCTGTGAATTAAGGTACATGTTAATTAGTCAGATTTAGTTATTCCACAATATTTACATACTTCAAAACATCACATATAGAATAAATAAAATTTTATCTGTCAATGTAAAATAAATAAATACAAAGTGTCTAGGGAGTGAAAAACTAAATTCTGATCAATTCATCAATAGATGAATTGAGATGGGGTGTTGTAAGGGAAATAGAACCAGTGTTGTGGCTGGTGAGCAGGAATCCAGAAGGCTCTGTGGATAAACATCTGTTCCTTCCCAGGAACTCTTCTGACTCCCAAATTATGAGCTGGTTTCACATACAACCTCCTTTCTTATTCCAGGCTGCTTTTTCCTTGAAGCATTTTTCAGCTATAGGGTAGGGGCAAGATGCTATCTGTGTTGAGGTATTACAGAAAGGAATGTTCAAAACCAGTGTCTCTGTGCACACTGCTAAACAGAGGTGGTGCCTTCCAGCTTGGAACATTTCGGGGTGTTCAGAGGCACACCTGTGGCTTGCCAGGCTGGGACAGACCATAGGGAGACTTCCATTCTTGGTTCTCTGTGACACCTTCTTTGTACCTGCACCCTGTCCTTGGCTCCCTGTGCAAAGGGGTTGTGGATGTTGTGTATGGCAGGCTTAGCTTTCTCTTCCTACCTGACCCTCCACTGCTCTCAGCTTATGGTGTGTCAAGAGCTGTGTTTTGACCTTTCGGAAACACTTGTCAGGATAAACTTCTCAGCAGTTTCCCTTTTGTCCCCATCTGCAATACTTCCACATGCAACTTGGAGCTTCTATGGAACAGCTCTGGAGGTGCCTCAAAGATGCAGAGTTAAAGAAGAAATCTTAACAACACAGGGCTTGGTTAGTGAAAAAGAAACAGGTTTGGCAGATGTGTGGTAAAGGCTTCAGAGGACAGAAGAAATACTTCTGAAGAGAATCTGATCTCTAAAAGTTGAGAGCTTGAACTGCCAACCCAGCTCTTCATGCCCAGTCTCTCATCTCTATAATCTTTCTCCATCTAGGGGCTGCCCCTGGGGCCGAAGTCATGATGGGGAACGGGCTTTGCCAGGGAAATCTGTTATGAACTCATAATCCTATTGTTATATTTTCCCAGGAAGGGAGGAAGCTGGTCTAAGGAAAACGGAGGGAGGTGGGGATGTAGAGAATTGTCTGCAGCCCTCTAGATGAGCAGGCCTTCTCCAGTGTCTGTTTCATGTTCACAGGGCTTCTGGGACTCTCCACTGAGTCTCTCCTACACCCTCATTGTTTGCTATGGAAAAAGAGAACAGTGGCTTAGGAGTTTGGGAGCAGGGGTTATGTTCCTTTCACCCGCAGTGCTCACCTTCCCAGTGTCCCGCTGAGTGACTTTCCAGACACAGATGCGGAGGATGCAAAGACACACACGGACAGCTCCATGTGAGTTGTTCATTCTCTCAACCAGGTGTCCCCAGGAAGTATGGCTACAAGTCTCTACAGCTAGGTCCATAATGACATTGAGTGTGGAAGAGAAGGGGAGCAGGAATGAGGCAAGGAAAGCATCATTTCTCAACACCTCTGCTGTGCTTCCCCTTTGTCTTTGTCCTCATCCCAGGCATCTGGTCCCCAGTTCCTCATCAGGTTGGGGTGGCAGGAATGGGCACTAGGGATCTGTACCTGATTGGGGGACATAATAACTCGTGTTTGGAATTTATTATCTGCAGGAATGCCCCATAAGGTGCACGTCTGGAT